CTTGCATACACGCTCCGTGTTCAAGAGCACGGAGCTCTTCGGGGCTGGGCCCTGTTGAACTATGCCTCCCTGAGGCTCAACAGACCTCAGTTCTTCCCCAGCATGTCGCCCCGCGCCTTCTGGGGGCTGCCGTTTCCCCGCGACGAACCATACTGGTAGGCATTAGGGCGATGGTTCGAAGAACCTAGACGCGCCTTGCGTAGGGGGCTGTCGTTCTGAGGGTGACGGGTGTCTCCACAGACAGAACACCGTCGAATGTGTGTTTGCGTGCTGCCCGGCAGCTCGGAGCTCTGCTCCCTCGTCCTCCTGAGATCGATGGGCATAGGCCCGCTCGACGAGCTGTTGGAGTGTGTATTCCAACCAAGTCGTGCCGACTTGAAATTGAATTTGGCATTCAATGCTACATTCACGGCCTCTTCAAATGAAGATGGATGCACACGGAAGACTTTCATTCTGGCCACGCCAGTGCGGAGGCCTTCCATAAACACGGTCACTGTAATCGTCTCAGGTAGGGGATCTGCTGCCATCCCGATAATGAGATTACGCATCTCTTGGACAATGTCCACCTTTTCCTTGTTGCCCTGTCGGGCGGCAAGAAAACGCGCTCGCACGCTATATGCTTGGTTAGGCGGCGAGAACACTCGTGAGAGCTGCGATTTCAGCTCCGCCCAGGAGGGAAACGCAGCTCCGACCGAAGTGCCGCACGTCATTGCCCATTCTCGTGCTCGACCACCGAGCTTTGAGATGGCTAGCGCCACGCGCTGCTGCTCGGTCTGGAGCATGGCGAACGCGATGGCCATCTCGACCTCTCTCACCCAGAGCAGGAGATTCTCTCCATCCTTCCCCTCGAAGACCTTAACGCTCACCATGAACGGCTTAGGGCGGGGAAAATCATCCGTCACTGACGGTGGCGTCATAGACGCAAATGATATAGACATCTTCTGCTGGTGCTCTAGCAGCGCGTTTTCGCAATTTAAAAACGCCTCTAGACGCGCATCGATTGTCTCGGGGCCTTGCGCAGCAACGTGTTGCACGCCCTCAGGGCCAAGCCAGGACATTAGCTTATTAAGCCCGTCCTGCATTCCCTAGGGCAAAGAGGAAGATTGTTCCTCACCGAGGATCAGTCGTAACGACTCAGGCGTAGATCGACTACAAGCCCTACAAAGTGCAGCGGGGCTTCCGTAGCTTTGTGCTTAGAGGAAGCGTCAGTTGGGTCACCGAGCTTTCGTTCGATACTTAGAACAAGTACGAGTTTAGCGGATCGCAACCCGCTTACTTCAGGAGTAATCACAATCTTAACCCAAAATTAATTAACTCTTCCGTTTTAATCCAAAACTGATTTTCATTTATGTTTATCTGCGGCAAAACCACCTAATTTTAACTGTATAGATTTTCCAAAATGTGTATAGTAAAATCAAAAGACATGTTTTCCTGATGGCTACCAGCCCCGTACCGTATTCTTGTTTGGGTGTGGTCACACCATACCCATCTGGTGTGACACACCCCTGTTACCAGGGTATGTCTAACCCCATTACAACACGCCTACGATCATCTGCGGCATCTACCGCCTTAAAATGACCCAGGTCGGGCATATATAGCCTCTTCTGCAGTGTTCTGCTCTGAAGTGCCCAATGCCGCCCGCAGCATCCTAACTCGGAGCCTACAAGCGCGACGTTATGATGTTCCTTCTGGCGCATTGGTAAATCCATGCCAATCTCAGCCTCACTTTTCGAGAAAGATTTTTGCTGTACCTTCCCTTGCAGAGCCGAACGCAAACGAATCGGCCTCAATTAAGAGCCGGTTGAGTGTCCAAAAGAGTCTAATTAAGATGTGACTGAGTGTATCACCAACGTAGTTTCGAAGCTGGTTTTCACTACAAGGTAAGCAATACTACTTTCAGCCCCAGGACTGCCATGTGTGTTATCCTTTCCGGACCGAACCGACCATAAACATGAGTTACAAAGCTTATCTTGTTTCAAGGCCAGATACTCAACAGGTGAACAACATTCATTTTGCCCTCGCAGATGAAAGAGTGTTTCCAACAACTCATTTGCTGAGTGCAGCCAGATTGCTGTGCGTCCTGCACTAATTAACTTTGGCCCAGCGACTTCGCGTTAGTAGATGCACAAAGTAGGAGCGGTTGCGAAGCCCAGGGGCGGAACCGAGTACAGCCAAAGTGACAAGTTACTAAGTTTGCACTTCTACTTCAAAAATGACACTTCTTTTGAGTTGTGTGAGCTAAGCTATCTACAAAAATTAAGTCTGTGTGCTACATAGTGTGAAGCTAGCAGCCCACATATCCTCCGAAGCCCTCGTATTCAAAGACTTGTCGATCATTCGAACCAGCAATCACCATGCTACTTTATAAAAGTACCATACTTTGGCGTCACTGACTTTAGAGATAATCGTTTAAGGGAGTACATACACCACAATACGGTAGATACCCTATTAGTTGAACCTCTAAGTTATTGAACGCTGACGAAAATGTCGTCGAGTGCCCTGTTTAATTTGCAGACTGGATGGTGAAGGCACGTTGACACTTCCATCTCACAGCCTCGTAAGCCCGCTATAGTGAAGCTGACGTCAGACTCAACCTTCGTTTGAGAATTGACATTGTGAAGTACAAAGCACGACGTAGGCGATAAAGTTAGCGCTTTCTTCTCCCTTTTTTGCTGTTAACATCCCTCATGAGCTTACTGATAGAGCAGAGCAGTCCACCTAGTCTGAGACTTAAACAAGCCCGGGGCCAAGTGAAGCGCTTTGCGCTGTGCTACTCTGTTTCTTCTAGTGAGAAAGCAAAGGCAGATGGTGCACCAGGTAACAAGCAGCACTGGCACCAAATAAATATTGCCAAATTGCCGCTAAATCGGTGTGAGGTTCCCTTTCACTTCATCAGATACTAGTTACATCATTATTGGTGCATTTTCGCAGTTGTTATATGATGCAATTCGGCGCTCATATATGTACTCTCGTGCGGGGCCTTCTATCGAGATGCTGTTCCAAATTTCTGCAGAAGTTGTTTATTGCATCCACGGATAATACGCTTTATTGCATCTGGGAACTCGAGAGAAATCATAGATAAGCTTATCGCAACGTGATGTCTCCGCCATGCATGCCACCCATTCAAAGGCGGTAGACTAATCAATATGTAATGCAGCGTGACGCACAGCTTATTCGAAACGACTGATGAAATTTCTTTGTGAGCAAAAGCCGTCGATAAAGTCTCAACTTCCTTTCATTTTCTCTCAAAATTTGCGGTCATCCTTAAACTTCACTTTCTAAATGCTTTTAAGCCTAATAATGTCTGACGTATTGGAATTTATGTATTAGCGTTGAGAACTTCAATGCAGGGAGCGAAACGCCGTCGATGCGTGCTGCTGATGGATGGATCTGCTATCGGATGCTTCCAGCGCAACGCACTCGAGACGCACATCATTGTTCTCGAAGCCTCAGGTCACACGTACTCCTACATCCACCCCGACGGGACTCGCACTAGACACTTGACGCCAACTGCACTTTCAAGCCATCGCCCCTTTGTGCTTGACACACTAAATTTTCGCAACAGACTTTCGCTTCACGCACCGTATGTGTGTCTGCAGCTTATGGACACGAGCACTGTACGACGTCAGCATCGAGTACGAGCACCACGAGCAACTTGGCCATGTTTTGAGGGAAAGACAAATGTTTCAAAGCTGTATAATGACCAGAAGAAGTGCTTGGAGATACACTCGATCGATGGTTCAGCTAAAGTGCAGCTGCATCTCAGTGGCAAGCTCGTTGATATTTTTTGCGTTTTGGAAGTAAAAATGTCAGATGAAGACTTAGACGAGAGCAGTAGCTACGCATACTACACAACGATTCATCAGTCCTTTGCTGTAAATGAGACGCCAGAAAGCTTCCAGTTTCCAGTAAAATTTCTTTTGGCAGCAAAAGATGCTTGGGATCAAGACCGGAACGCAGAAATGGAGTATGACGATAAGAGCATTTCAGTATCACAATGGCCGAGGAATGGGGCATTTGCTGCACGACCATCGTTCCCGGTCATTGCCACGCGACTCAATGACACTGAATGTAACGAAAGTCGAAGTGATTGTTTGCCATTAGTCGAGATACTGCGTGTTGCTACAAAGCCTTCAAAATATATGTACAAGCGTGTTGTGGCCGAGATTCTCGGTGATAACACAATGGTGTTTATTGATCGCAGAATGTATAACCTCCAGCCAGAAGTTGTGGTAAGTGTGAGATTTAATTTCTTCTTTACGTGCATTGACTCAATCTTTGCGTCAATAGGTTCAATTTGATTGTAAAAGCTCATTATTGACAGCATGTGGTGGCTTTTTCACTTTATATGACGATCGTGGACAATCTCGGCATCGCTTCACACGCGAAACAATTCCACCGCCAACTACAGTCAGCTATAGCTGCTTAAGTGGTTCAATCACATCGCTGTGTCAGCACATCGATTATGTGCTTCAGGCTTTTAAAGACACAGCTCGAATGCATAACCTAAGTGCCTTGTCATCGGCTTTTACGCAATCTGACGAGATCGAAATAATCGAGGAAGCCAAGAATGAGCTCGGTCGCTTTCGTGCGTTTCGTGATGGTCGAATTCGTGTGGCGTTTGCAGATCGCACAATCCTTCAAATTGATCCGCATGGTGAAAAATGCTCGTTCCTCTTTTCAGACGGCACGTCAGGTCAGACCACACTAGCATCAGCACCATTGCGCCATCGCTACTATATCTATGAGGCACTGGATTTCGGTGATTGGGCCTTTTCATCTAAAGAAGAGCGAATTCTAAGTCATGAGAGACGGCAAAAAGCTCAAGCTATTACTAGTCATGAGCTCCAACGAATTCATGTGCGCTGCGAGATGAACAGCAAGGTGAATATGTCGGTGCAGACACTCAGCACGGATAAGAAGGAAACACGTGCACCTTGTTCATTCGACTTATCGATTCACGGTGAAGTGCAAAAGATTCAAGCAGCTACTCAAGCTCATATCGCGTCTGTCAATATGAGTTTACAAGCAGCATTTGTGGCAGCCAAGATTGACACTGAAGGCCATCAAACCGGTTTGAATGACGCAAAATTTGATCAAATGGAACTGTCTATCTCATAAAATAGATCGAAGCAACGACATCGGACAGAAACACTAGAGAAGCTGCTTCGACCATGTCATAACGCCTACTTTCTCTTCCGAATCTTTTTTTCCTGCTTCTCTTTGGCTGCCACCTGTGCTTCGATATTCTTGACAGCAACCTCGGCAGCAAGTGCTGTTGCCATAGCTTGAGCACGAGCGGCTTGCATGGCTTTAACCTGTGCTTCAACTTCTTTACGCTGCAATGCCGCTTGCTGTTCAGCAAGCTGATTCATAAATTGAACGGCTTGTGGAAATATCTTGTCTGGCCAACCTTCACCTACATTGTCCAGCAACAATCAAATGCGTTTAGTAACATGCGCAAGATACGGCACATCTAAAGAACGAACCTGGCTTAAGTTCTTCAGCTTCTTTGCGCACTTCGTTAATCTCATCGTTGATTAATTCTTCGGCCAGCTTGTAGCTGAGATACGACCCGTCTTTGAGAATGTCGTTTTTTTTTAAACGCTGAATACCGGAACTCTCTGACTGAATCTTGCGAATGAGTGGAATGTCAGCCACAGCACGACGAAAGAGAAGCTGGAAGCATTTATCTAAGTCGTCGGGGTGTTCCTCCTTGCCTTTGCGGTATAGCTCGACTTCCTCAGGCAGCGCAAAGTCAAAGCCGTTGATCATTGCCTGTAAAGACTCGTCTACTTCGTCCGTCTTTTGCGGCATGAGAACACGTGCTGCCATGTATACTAGCACTGCTGTCACACCAGTGACGATAACGGCTATTATCTGTAGATCTGTCAGCATCCTGTCGCTAGTTGCTATTGTCTAAGTGCCTTGACGACAACGTTGGCAAAGAGTGAAGCTACGTGTCGGCATGGGACAGCATGGTGTAGAGCACATCAAAGTACCCATGATTGGCTTAACAAGTATCCGGCTTTTAAACGTAAAGCATCATATTATCCAATCGTTATAAAGAGGAAAGTATATACACATTCAGAGCTCATTAATTTATACTTTAACACATCAAGATCTTCCACTAAGACGAACAATAAAACTACAGATTCATATAAAGAAAAAGTACTGACTGCTGATAAGATTTGAACCATCAAAATTCGGAATTTTTGTTCGTCTACCCAGTGTCTAACATGCGTTATAGCAGTAGGCGCTACCATGGGAGTATTGATCTCTGGGATTGTCATTGCGGTAAGATTATTACTCGGCTGATCGTAACGACAGAGGTCCTAAAAGTTGCACAATTCCGGATAATTTTTTCTCGTCTGGAATCAATGCGCACGAGTAGCCTAGCAGTTGAACACCCTTCTTCTTAGCTACTGTGCACAGGCTAGCAAACTTTTTGTCGTGCAGCACAGACGGCGCAAACCCGTTGCAATCATCGCGCTGCACCAAAAAAATAATGGCTCCACTAACCTTCTCATTACTTGCTTCTGTCTCAATCTGATCCTGTAATAACTTCGTCAGCTCTGCAACGTGTTTTTGAGCTCGAATTGACACTGTATCTGGAAACATAGCGCAGCGTGACAAAGTGTCTGCACTATCGCTCAGTGCTAGAGTGACACTTTTAACTTCGACGTATTTCTCATGGGCAATGGTGCCATCGTGATCATACGTCGTCAACACAAAGTCCACACGACTGTTCTTGGAGAACTTTACTTCCCTTTTAACAACGTCATAATCGCCAAGCTCGGAAAACAATCGCGTAGCTAATGCTTGTTCCACCATTCTGTTTGCCATCGTAGAATGCACGCCAACCCACACGTATTTTTCTCCATTCTAACAAAAAGTATGAGATTTCGCTTGCATTTGAAAAAAAGCGCTACGTACATAAATCTCGATCATCTCGAGCGTATACGCATACTTGCGCTTCGAATCGTCACTTTTTGATAATTGTACGCGAGCATGTGGTAATCCTTCCAGCAACCCCACCATCGGTCCCGTGTTTGGGCAGTATACAGTTACGACTTCTTCTGCTCGATCATGAGTTGTGCTCTCGTTTTTAATTTTTTCGTCATGCAACACAACATCGGCCAGAAACCGTTTATAGCGACGAATGAGTCGCGCTGGGATCAAAGTTGGGTATCGTAGCAGAACCTTGGAGTCGCTTGTGGCGTGTGTGGTACTTTCACTTCGTGTGCAGAGGACAGGAATCTTTTGACGAAAGTTCTTTGCCCCCAAGGATGAATAACTTGACGTGACGGCCCGTTTTTTGGTATGCTTGGGGCTTAAAGCTTGGCTTGTGTTTGTCACTGATACTGATGAAGTAATGCTACGCTTTCGACTGCGCAGTCGCATCTTCGGTTTGGCGATACCAATTTTTCTAACTTCGGTCCATGAAATCACGTGATTCTTATACCACATATTTTGCATACTCTAAAAATTTGTTAAGTACTACATCAAATTTTTGCTTGTAGCAACTGTCTGGTCTTTAAATCAAGAAACCAGCTCCATAAACGTTTCTAAGATGTGCTTTCGAGTTACGTTGCGAAAATAAGACTTTGCTCGCTGTGGAGCTCTGCGTTGTGTCGGCATCCTTGAATGCCACACGATCCTTTAGGTTTTTATAGTGCTTACACGATGAACGATGCTGTCATGGTTTTGCCCTAACCTGAGCATAATTCGGATTTCGTTTGCATCTTCGAAGCTCACACATCTCAGCTTTTCGTGTTATGTTTGCTACATAAAATGTTGGTCTCAAAGCCAAAAAACCGCAACCTTAAACCGAAATGTTTAGTCTCAGCTTCTGCTGCCGGGTATCTGATCCAACATTTATTGCTGCTGCTTATAGTTTCCCAAGACAGCTAGCATTTATGTTCTGTGCGGCATCAATTTTGCTTACGGATTTGTATTCGTGATTTGAATATGGATTTTGACCAAAGCAGTCACAGTTAATGGGAAGGAATAGCTCAATCTCCCATTTGCAGCCTAAATAGACCTGGACCATATGACTCAGCTACTGTCCTTCTTCTCTCGTTCTAGTATCGCCTCCCATTTCTCTCTTTCCGACAAATTCGTAACAAGTTCATATTGCTTCTTCAACGATTGAGATATAAGGACTTCTGCTTTTTATTAAAGCGTTTCAGATCGATTCATGAAGATGGATCAATGTAGTTGGAGCATGAAGTAAATATTTGGTTTATGACGTTGTTGGAGAGGAGGCATTTAGTTGATCTTTTCTTATACTTATCTCGTCTTCATCTTTAGCATTGAATAAGACACAATGTAGAATTATTTACCGCTTGCTCATCCATTAATCCACTTTTTCGCAGATTTACCTGACAATCAAATCATACCAATTTAACATTGATGTACCTCTTTTAGATACATCAACGTTTGAGCGTGACATGTACGCTCTTCACGTGTCAAGGTAGCGGCGTAAAACTGCGTTTGATATGCTGACGATCCGATATCTAATCTGAAGTGGTATAACATTATTATCAGAATCCTGGCAACACTCCACGAGCTTATACTAATTTGTTCTTCAACATTGTATTTATTCACGGTTTGACATTCATCGTCGAAACGTTGCCGTTCGATTGATGTTTAAATAGTTGATGTCGTTTTAATGACCAAGTTCTTACGATCGTTGTGATTTTTTGCCGAAAATGCTCGAAAGAGATTCCGCATGTAATACGCGCGTAACTCCATACTTGCTTGGTCATGTACTAAATACAAACTAAATATTCTCACACCCTAATACGGTATGCTAATATTTATGCACCATTGCTCTCTTCGTGACAAAGTTTGGGCTTTGACTTTCGATGTTGTCATATAGAAGCCATGTAGCCTAATAAATCAAAAAAGCTCTTAATGTATTAAGTAGAGCAGCAGAGTTTTCTTTAAGGTTACGCAAGCCTATAAGTCTCAATCCCTCCGAGCTATCTGGGTGGGCATCACTTTGACGCAATTTTTCTTTCTATTTTCACACTATCTGCTTTTGTTCTTCCACGACGATGGCAATCAAAATTGTCACAATCCTATCTAATTCTTTTAGGTAATCATAGATTGAGCGTAAAACCCGAATGAAAACATTTATGTAGATCATCAGATCATCTCATTAGCTGTAACAAATGGAAGGTGTATATTTGCCATTGACAATTATGCAGGGCTTTTTTATAATACCCTGCGATAAGTGCGGCGAACACCAACGCTGATGGGTTTGAATATTTTCAACTATTGCAAAAGTGTTAGTTTCCTCACTGCTTAACGTGCTACCAACAAGACATGGGCGCGAGGCAAGACATGAATGCATTCACCTTAAATTTAGTTAAGCTACTTACGGGTTGACAAAGTCACCGTCTACCACGTTCTTGTCTTGGACCCTGAAATAAGTAAAAAGTTGTCGGCAGTATTCTAGCATAGTGAAATGATTTGAGAAGTGTATCAACTTGACGCAACGAGCATGACTGCTTCAATTTCAAATGTCATGACTGTTCTAGCCGGAAATTTCGCGGTAAAAGTCGTTCCTGTGATTGACGTCGTGCTCTCCTGATACAGTGCTCCCAAGCCGCTGGTTTCAGTAGTCCATACTTTCACGACTTCACCCAGTTTTCCAAAGCTCGCAAGGTCATAGGTGATCGTTTGAGCGTCTCCAACATTCACAGTCACGAGCACTAAGAGATTATTTTCCGAGTTGAAACTTACCACAGTCTTCAAATCGTCCGAGGCAAGAATTTTCATTCCGAAGCGAATGTGGCGAGAGTACTGTGCGAACACAAAGTATTTTGGGTTGGCCTCGCCAATCCAGGTGTCGCCTGGGTTGGACTTAATAAGACCCCAACCGACACCATCCAGAACCTGCCAGTATGCAATACCCGTCACGCACATTTCATTGATGTCAAGACTGATGGATTCTGCCATGGTGAGTCCTGATCCATCGCCTTCGGCCAGTTCAGAGTCCCACATAATCTTCATTAACTTCTCAGCAGATTCTCTGAGGTTATTCCGGTCAGGACCGCGGTAAGCGTCCAGACCCTCGTAACCATGTGTGTTGACTTTAGTGAAGGAATTTATGACATCTGGAATAGCAGCCATGGCTTCTAATGTATGCATTGTTTCGGTAGGCGAATTTTCGTCAGCAGCAGCAATCGCCACCTCTTTAAGATCCATTGCGTCAAGCTGTTTGCGAAGGATTGGCAGGATAGCTTTTTGCGCATCCCAGGAAAAATGACAGCCTTCCTGCTTGCCCGGATATTCCCACCAAGATTCCGAGGGCTCATTGAATGGCTCAATATAGTTAAACGTGATACCCCATTCCGTCTTGAATTCACTTAATACCGTCGCCAAGTACAGCGCGAATTCTTCATAATTCCAATACTGCAAGTTGTCACTCTTTCCATTGTCTCCACCGGCAGTCGCGCGATTGTAAGTCATCCACCATGGTGGTGCATTTGAAAACGCTTCAAGCTGGTTAGCTCCGCGCTCAATAGCAAACTTGAGCATCGCCCGCTGCTTGGCGTCAGCTTGCCAATTCCAACTCGTCGACGTTCGATCCTTGTTAAACCAATCTACCCAGTAGCTTTCAATGAGCTTGAATGCAGGCATATTTTTTGACGTTCGCATTGCGACCTCTTTGCCGCTATCGTCAATGACGTTGGTGCCCGAGCCTCCAATGTTGTATCGGACGATATTCAAGCCAAGACCCGGTAGTGATCCGGTATTTCCTATAGGAATTTCAGTCGAATTTAAAGTAAAAAGGACATCAGCGATGCTCGCCTCCTCTCCAAAGACGTTTGCCCACCAGCAAAGTGACGTGCCCCAGCCATCCCAATTGGGCTGAATCGTCGTGGCAGCGTCCACCTTAACCGTATAATCGGCAGTAACTGACAAGTAATTGATAGACAAGAGAAGTGCTGAAGATACTAGGGATCGTATTGGTTTCATCGCTGCTCGACTTTACGAAAATCTCGATCGATATGTTGAGTTTTAAGATAGAGCGAAAGTGGAGCGCAGATTGACTGCGAAGGTCGGATGCTTTCGCATAAACGACACCACATGGAGGATAGAGAAACGATTTGCAGCTCACTTTTACATGCAAATTACTTTCCGATTGCATGTGCTTGATAAGCATCTATTCCGCAGATTCAGGATTACGCAACATTCTATTTTGTTATTTGACATAACAACGACGTTATACTATCTGTCATTGACACAACCCAATAAGTGCGATAAATAATGAAATCTAATGAAAAGAATCGCTGGGTCTCTCTGTCGCACTGTATAAACACAGTCTGCTACAAACACTCCCGTTCCACGCAAAAGAACTTGATAAAGTTTGCTAGGAGTGCAGACTAAGTTAGAAAGCAAAACAGGCACTAGCATTAAAAATGTCGAGCTAATTGTTTGTGTACATTTCTTACAGCCATATAAATATCAAAGTATCTATAGAGTTCCAGCTCTTTTCAAAATATATTATGTTTGGTTGTATATTATATTAAGCAATTTATTACCTTGATCACAAAATGTAGAAGAAGGTTTTTTCTTTGATATAAGATGCTATGAGGTTCGTATTAACCTGGTGGCGTGGGTCGAGTGGTCAATGCTTCTGGACCTAACGTTGTGTGGCGCGGGTTCGAGCCCCTCCGCGGACAAAATCGTAATCGTACCAGACATGCAAGAAATGTCAGCTGCATGCAAAATATTACCGACGACTGCCAATAAGGGATTTGGGATGGCGATTCGTACAAGAAAAATCAAGAATTAAAATCAAGAAAAGATACCCTGGAGGAATGAAGCAAGGTACTATCTTAGTCAGGGCCGAGTAGGTATAGCCGTGTAATAAGATAGTACATAGCAACTTTCAACTGAGGTTCGTATTACCCAGCATTCTAGCTGATACTTTTTCGATGCAAGAGCCTGGCAGCAGTGTGACCTAAAATACAGAGCCTTGAGCGGTTAGCCTTTTTGACATTGAAGCGGGCTCAGTCTGATTTCGTAATTTGTTTATTTTGGTTTTTACATACCTATTTCACTGATGAATCAATTACTTTCTTCATTCAATCCGGGCATAAAATGAAAGACACTTGTACCAGACACAATTCGACAGATGCCCATAAATTGCATAATGGTTACACATCTGCGGCCGGGTTGTAAAAGGGCATTGTTTCAGTACGTTTGGAGGGCAATGTCATCCATCGAAGTCAGGAGACCCATAGCACATGCACTTACTTGCCAGCTATCTAGACGGCGTCGCGAGAAAGCAATTTATTTTATTCACCCGCACTAGTGTATGCGTTATACAGCGCATACTTAGGCGCCGCGCGCTCAAGGAACTGCATTTGAAAGCGGACGGATGTCGTTATCGTTGTCTCAATAAACATTACGACTTCCATCGCATATTTTTTCCCCAGCCGGTTGATATGCATCTTAAGAGCGCTATTACAGCGCTTGATTGGGTAATACATCATTGAATAGGGCCCCGTAACGGATCACGATCTGCTGTGTCGTGTACGTGTACATCAAACCACTTGAAAGTACTAAGGTCTGGAACTGATGATATCCTTGAATGGGGGTCCGTGGGACAGTGCAAAGCACCCCATTGTAACTGGTATGTAACTAGGGTTGCCGTGCACGCTGCACAAAGAATATTTTGAGTCTTAGTGTGCGGGTGAACAAGCGAAAAGAGGCTGGGCTCTTGCGCTCGTATCAGGAGCGAAACCGCGAGCATTTACCGAGCTTAAAATCCCGTGTATATAGGCGTGCAAGAGATCCGCCACTGTGCATTGAGAATTGTAGCAGGCCATTATCAGGACTTGGTGTTCTGCAGAAGCTGATATGACTCTCGCGCTGCGCGTGTTGACAGGCAATCTTGAATCGCAAAGCAGATTCAACTCGTTGTGTTGTCATGACTTTTGCAGTGGAATGCCGTAACACTCTCCAGCAAAGGGGGTGACAGAATCTCTGCAGAGGCACTACAAAGCTTTGACAGCATCTCATCTTCAGTGGGAGGCTCACTCGTATGCTTTACAGTAAAGAACGGGGGCGCTTGGCCGGTGCTTGAAGAGTCGCAATGACCGCTCTCACACGAGAACAGCCAGGCTTTTTCGCCGAGAATGACTTAAAGATCGTTAGTCGCGAGGTTTGTGTATTTTCTGTAGTCCCGTTAAGTCGGAAAGGGATGCTAGCGAATAACCTTTTAATTTTGATGGTTCTTGTAGGAGAAGACTCGATTTGGTGAAAATAGAGGGGGAAAGCTCCAAGCGCAGTTGTTAAAAGCTTATTTTTACGCAATGTCTTAAGAGACAAAAGAAGTGTAGTCCCAGTGTAGCCTACACCCTGGTGAAAAGAGTGTATTGGGATATTTTGTATTATGGTGTTATTACAGCTAAATGTTATATCTAAATCCCAGAAGTACCAAAGTAGTGGTACTGGTGAGGACGTTAGGACTCTGAGACAGAATATCATGACTCACGTAGATTGTGTTCTCGAGTTGTGCAGTAATCAGAGATTGATCATAAAACATAGTACACCACTCATGTAGAATAACAGTTCAAATAATTCTAAATTATCCCTCAAAGCTTACGTGTAATTGAATACTTATCAAGACTCTCAGTTCCGCTCCTGGGGAAAGCGAAGGGACCAAAGTTTAAGCGTTGTGAACGGACTCTTCCGTCATTTTTTCTGTCTGCAAGATGCATCTCAATTCCATTGCAAGCACTGTCGTCATAGACAGTATGAATGTATACTTCTCTCAAAAGTTGTTTTGAATTTTTTTAACCTTCATGGCAATGTCTCCGTACAACCATACTTGATCATCGATAAACAAATTCGGGAGGTGGAGAGCGGGAACCACGGACACTTTCTACGTCGATTCAATTCTGGTTGGAGGGCAGACATAGTAGGCGAAACAAGTTTCCGTGCTCTTACAACGAAGAAGTATTCACCTCGAAGAGTCCCCGTTTACGAAGGCGTAAAGGTTCAGTCCGTGCACATGAACCATAACTGAAACAGAGTGCATTTAAAGCTAGATATTCAGATAGCTCTACGATCTTAAAGCACATAAATTGAAGATTAATGCTACTTAGACTAATACGAAATATATACCTCACTTTATCCTACAAAAACTGTCTTTATTTTCTGATGTGCGGCTTGCAGCCCCCGAGTGCTACTCATTTTCTTTTTCACGACTTCATCAATATCAAAAATAACGTAATTACGGTCATTATAAATATTCACATCCAAAACCAGGTGTGATGTGAGTTTCGCATAATTGCACCGTATTGTTAAAACAACTGTGCCAAATGCACATAACCGAGTTCACAAAATTACTGTTATTGCTACGTCACATTCTGCCTCACTGATTCAAGGACCGCACTAAGATTCACCCTTACTTTGTATTTGTGACCACTGCAACAATGCTTGTCGTCTATCGCCGCCGTGTTCGAAATAATTCTGTATGAAGATATCATTTCTTCATGGTAATATTCCCAAGTGACTATTTGAGTGCCGACCGAACATCCCAGCCCTCACGTGGCGATACACGGCCTCGGCCTAGCAATTTCATAAAATGGTGACGCTCACTAGGATCTGTGTTCCGCTGTACGAGTCCCCGACATCGAGCCTTTTCTCATGGTGGAAAGTGTATGATACCTCCGCAAAGCAGATTCCAGCTTGAGCTACTGTGAGCTCAAACATCACGTCGCTCGTGCATACATGATTACGCCATGATCATCCGTTCGTATATGCTCACCACCTTGAAGCAAAGCCTTTAAACGCCTTTGTCTGCCGGCTTTCCATCTACATCGAGAGCAAAACGAACCCGAGAAAGTGCGTCGTGAGCACATCAGTTCACACACCATTACTCGTCAAATATGCTGTCTGAGCTTAGATCAGCAGTGGTTGGCAAGAATATACCCTCCGTGAGGGATATACCTTGGGTACTTAATGCTGAGAGACTGCTGATGAGTAATAAACTTAGTTGGTACACTTAGTGAAGATACCGTACCGATTTACTCGTGTCAAGACTTTACAAGCAAGCGTTAACAAAGCAGTCATTTTCATATCATGTCTTGCAGAAAGCGCAAAGTGGACATCGACAAAACAAACCATCACCTCAACTTTCTACTTGTTCAAGTTTCATCTCTTCATCACATTGCCGTAACAGTCTTCGAACAAGGGTCAGTTCTGCCGCAAGGCGGGTGTCAGTCCCTTGTTTAAAGTGCATTGAGATAAAAGACCCTGTGTCTTTTTAAGAGATGAAGACCGAGAGTATATCAGGTCGCAAGCGGACACGGCACCAGGGCAATCTTGGTGGAGTGGAACCTCAAACTCTAACGCGTCCTTCGACAGAGGATATCCTTATTACCTCACCGGGTAATGGGAACAGCTCTAGTGATAGCTTTGAATCATAAAATGCTCGACGCAAGAGTAGACAATCCTTAATAACTATACTGTGCCGGCGGGGGTCAACTTTCCGGCGGCTGAAACTCGGGACCTTTCGAGGTAGTGACTCTTTCCGAGAGTCTTGGTGTGCGTCCGGGGATAGGGCAACCCAGCTCACAAACTCGATGCCTGATCTTCGACATTGAGGCGCCTGGCTAGGGCACTTCTCGCGGCAACATATCGTGTCGCTGTTTCAGATTAGGGGAAGGTCAGCTCCACGAGACGACAAACATGTTGCTTTATCTTCAACAAAACCAATCACACCCGACTGGGCAAAATTGCGGTACGTTCTCAGTCATCCCACATTGAGCACAGAATGATTTTGCATTCTAGTTGGGATGTATATGAAAAGTAATTTGGATCCTCCTTTATCTACGACCATGTTCGTCCGATGTGTTGGTCGCAACTCAGTATATTGACCCGCGGACCCAGAATACTCAGATAGATCGATTGCATTCAGTGCAAAAGTTTATTTCGCAACTTAGTAAAGTGTATCTCGCCTGTATATGGCATTGATATGCTGCTTTGTTTGTCTTGGATCTCCACCATAGCTTTCCGAGCCTGCGCATGACGCACAATCGCATTGAGATAGAATCAATAATCTTGCAAAGAAGCGCGAAGCGCATCCAGACTGATATAAACAAGTCCATCACGATTACTCACCATCTCTCATCAAGATCGAAGCTACTTCCTGTCAGTGTCGAAGGCAGCCGAGGGCTACTAATCCATTTTTATAGAGAGTGGTATGGCCTGCGAAGGCAAGTGCCGCGTTTCAGGGTATACGCTCTGCCAAGGCGCAACTCGCTTCAGCATCGTGATCACTCCAAGTGTTTTGGGTACAATCTTCCACAGCGAGATTCACATGATTGTCTCACTACCTAATTCCAGTTGGTCGCATACAATCTGGTCTGCAAATACTATTTTTCGGAATAACGCCGTAAGCCGCAAATATCTGATTGACACACCAGCTACCGACCAGTTATGTTGGCAACGCCAATTTCGTGAGGGAGCATGGCTGTATCTTCACTGGTTACAATATTACTAACAATAACATAATGGAAAAGCCCACTGAGATCACATGTTAAAGATTACCGAACGCGTCTTTTAAAACACACGAATTTTTAGTGAGCTGCCGACACTCTGTCGGAGCCAACAGACTGACCAAAGATACCGTCGAATGCGGTGAGCGCCCAAAACGGTAAACACGCATATGAGCTCTCCTCGATGTCACAAGGAGCAGTGCGTTCTTTCTCTTTAAAAGTTGACCTTGAAACCATCATCGTGAGGCACCACTACAACGCAGAGTGACATGAGGGTCAGTTTTATTGCATCAAGCGATGAGGTGGGGTACGATTGCGTCGGGGTGCAATTGCGCGCTTTGATCAAACGGCATCCGAGTTTCAGGTTTAACGCATCTTATACTGCTCAGCAACGCAACACATCTCTGTATCACATCAAGTCAATTCGGCTAAAATCTTACCTCAAAATTATATACCGTAAAATAGACGACAATCTTAGTTATAAAAAATTGGCGGCGGTATCGCTGCATGCAGCGAAAAATCATCTGATTAGTTCACAAATGGCTTGCAGTCAAATAGGTAAATCCGAAAAGTTATTCAGGCATATTTCGTTGCGAGTAGCCCTTGTCATGGACATGATAGTTTTCTCGTCGGCTTATAGGAAGAAAATATCAAATGCGGTTATGCGCCATCCGCATCTTGGAGTATAGCACAGTCCATGGTAAGCGTTGAAATGTCTTGTACAACACGGAACGGCCGATCTAGGATGGGAAAAACTCAACTCAGTCGAGGAAATTCTGATAAGCCTAAATCTGGTCGCCCTCAAGGCCTTTTAGGACCCCAAATACCGTCTCTTCCTGCTGCATACAATTCCAGCTGACATCGTCTTTACGAGGATTGGTTAGGGTTAGTGACCTGTCGGCATCAAATGCACTGCTTTTATGAACACAGTTGGCCAGTTTAAACCACATGCTTGAGCTTTAGGCAATAGTCAAAACACAATGGCCGTTATTGTTGCGGTATTTACCCGCATGCCATATTTTTTAATGAAGCAACTCAAAAAGGTTTTACAAGCGACAAAGAGACCCTTGCTTCTGCTCACAAATAGCTTAATCAGGTGCACACGCGTGCGTTTTTTCGTACGTGTTTAATGTGGTTCCACACATCCGACTTCCCGTGCACTGTACAACTATGAACAAATCTATTCTTATATAGGTCAGTGAAACAACCAGACGATTGATTGTTGCTGTTGCATTAGACGGTCTCTGTGACGTAACCAGTCACTCTCAAAGCATCCCGCATGGAGTAATCACAACAGTGAGATACATAGTACTGTCTCTCATCGGCAGGTTACAATGTTCATGAAGTCAAATCATAACCGTAGCATATTTTGATTAGTAAACAAGGCTTCCGTCAGAATATGGCTATATTTAGCTACTTTAAGCTTTCAGAACTCGCCAATAACCATTGGCCTTTCTGACACAGAAAGTAGGCAGTATTTTGTTTTATTCAAACCATATTTGTGCTTCGCACGAACAAAAGGTCAGTGATGTCATACTATTATCTTGGCAACGGTCACTGATGTGTGGCAAAAACTTACTATCGGGAGCCAAACCAATCTCATGATGCACTCCACTATCTGAGAGTAATATCGTGGTGGACATCTCGTCGACGATGAGCTATCATCAAACATAACAACGGTTTTGTGAAAAAAAATCAGATATTTTCGCACCCAAAGCTCTGCGATTGCCTGCAATGGCAGCTTTTCTATGATGAAGGGCGAGCTGAGCTCCTCTGGTGTCAAATTGAACCATTCGGTGATATCACAGTCTTTACCATTCCTTGCACATAATTTTGGTAGAGAGTCTATTCAAGTTTTGCCCAGTTTCTTGCAAAGTTAATGAGAGGGGATTTTCTTATCTCGTTCACTCCACTCCTATGCAAATATTCATTCTAACAACTTACGTGGACGGCTTCACAATAGGTCGCAATTGTCATGAACTGTTCTTTCAAATATCACTCTGGGGACTACGACAATGATAATATTTTTCCGTCTCAACTAAGACGCAATTCGGAGACCGCAATATACAAACACACTTTTCCGTCTAATTTGGGATAGCGTCTAAATTCCACATTTGCCCCTCATACTCAACGAACACAGCAATACAATTTCGCACTAATCCATGCTTTACCCGACTCATTCCTACACCAAAAATGTATCTTGCTTCCCGGTGTCGACGATCTCTAACTAACCAAAGCTCCATTTTGAAATGGTGACACTAAACATGTTTGAGTTCCAGTCTATCCATGGCTGCTTAGGTTACAGCCGGACCATATATCGAATGAGATCGATATCAAGTCTATGAACAGAGAAAAACAACTTTCAATACTGTTATTGTCTTCAAAATAAACTTAAAGACTCAACACTACCATCGACAGTTCTAGCAGTGTCTTCATCACAGGAGACACGGGTATCGCAAATATTTGGCAAAGCTCAAAATGCTTTTGGCTGATATTTACAAAAAGAATTGTTACGGCGTCACGAAGCTCAAATAAGTAAAATTTTAAGCCAGCAACTTTTGACCGCGCTCACTACCCCTCCCATATCGAGTTACATTAAAACTGGATCCGAGTGACCAAGGCCTTGTTCTTCCTATGTAGACCACCCTGCACATACTCTAGTCGGAGAAGGTTCGCTGAACGACTTTGCTTGAGGAAATAATACTTGGAACCTCACACTCTCACGTATGTAACATTGTTAGAGCCGAAGAATTGATCAGCCGGTAAGGGATTTAGTTTTTCCTCTTCGCTACGTCTAAGGACCATCGCTTCTTGCGTGCTCGTACGATTTGCTGTCAGTACCCAGCCGGCCCTACATTAATCCTTTCAATACGATTTTGCAATAAATAGCTCATCGACAGGCTAACTCCAAAGGTAGCTTGCTTTCCAGGGAATAATGCATGCTCCCAAGTTATGCTGTTGTCATAAATCCTTTCAGAGGGAAGTCGCGAAACATCTTTTGCCATCACTATTTTCATGGTAAGTGTTTAGGGGTTTATTAAAACGGACAGTCTTGTAAACACTATATGCCTTGTCGAGCCAGCCAAACATGTTCTAATACCCCAGTCTGTTATGCCAAGGCGAAATACAAAGGTCGAGTAATCTAGAGGTTACCACGTTTCAGTTGCTAGGGATAAAGTCATTTGTTACAGAAGCGGAGCAGCTTCTTCGGTCACCAAAGCATGCAATTGTGGCATTAGGAATTAGGATTGGAGGTGAGTGTAGAAAGTAGTCGAGCTACCGAACTGGAGGCGCACTTAGTATCTTTACTATCGAAAGTCCATTTGTATAAATGGGGGCTTCCATCCTGTCTAAATGGACCGAATATCGATCAAAATTCAAGCTGCGGAGTCATCGAGATATATCTTGAGGGGTATGAAAGAGCATTTATTACAGTCGCCGCGGTATGGGTGTTGCCAAAGCTTACGTTTAAAAAAGGAAAGAAGAGCAATTCCTTGATTAGATAAATATCGGGTTTATGTGGTGCAATAACGCTAATTTTTTCTCCTATCTGTTCATGAAAGAATAAAGGGTACAATAACTCTGGGTGGAGCGCCTTATCTTACTCTTGCTTATAGACTAAAATAATCCAAGCAAAAGTCATAATACGATCTTGTACCACAGTTGCGTTGAATATTCTGAGATCCATTAGCAAGTAAATGATAAGAATATGGCTGGATTCTTCAAAATTGCTGATCCTCTTCGTGACTCCATACGCAGTCAGATTTCTTGAGAGTCAAATCATCCATAACTGATGGCAAACGTGTATTAGTGGGAGTATCAGCATATCCAGCCATAGTCAATTTCTTCGACTTTCCTGTACACACATTCTTCTGTCGTGAGGGGGCAACCACCGGCATCTTTCCCTTATGAATTATTTTTGTTGGGCAAATTGCCTTGCCCATCAACGATTCATTCGTCTTCAAGTGGCCAGTTTCGGGCACTACTTGACCTATCGACACACTTCTTGGATGACCATTCGCGGCCACTGCATACGACTACGTATCTACCCTGACCTGAGGAATGTCATTTGAGTGACACGTACCAATGTATCAAAATTTATTTCCAGCAGCACGCCACTACCAAGCGCGCTTCTCTGGTACACAGCGATAACGAGTTCATTATTCCCAAGAGATTCGCCTACGCCAGGAGAGATACCAATCGATTCATGGTTCATGCTTCTCAAGCCGCGGTATACCTAAATCAGATCATACCCTTTGTTCATCTCGAGGACTGAGAATTCTTCCTTCGAGTTGAAGTCTTCAAACTTCAGTTGATGATCAGCCATAGTTTTGTTTGCGGTGACCACTGCATCAGTGGCCAAAATTGATGAGATGTAGCCATTGCTTTCATCTAGTACATTCGAAAGCACTGAATCCATATCAGCAACACTTCGCTTAAGCGCGTAGTTACGCGACGTGCCGGAGTCAATCAAGACTCTAAACGTTCGACCGTAACCTTCACACTCGCTGTGACAACACAAGGAGACCACGTCGTTAACAAAAAACAACGATCCTTCGAAAGCTAAACCCTCATGAGTGGCTCTACCACCACACCCACAAGAGCTTACAGCTGCCCAAGTAGACTGCCCTGCATCTATTGGGTTTGACGTTCTCGTGGTATTGGTACCACGTGATTCGAGACCATTACAATAACAGCCGTATTGATAAATTTGTGACAACCATAGCGGATGGAAGCGAATTGTTGACATCCATAACAGCAAACTTGCTGCCTACAAACAGTCACCGCGCTAAGCTCCATCAATTCCGGAACTCCGGTAGCAGCAGTCACTGTTTCCATCGGGTTGACCGATTGATCACATGCATGACGCTGACAATAGTCCTCACGCAATGCAACCATAATTGCATCTTCCAGAGTCGTCGGGCTCTGGTGAAAGACTTCAAACTTTGGATGACCATAGGTTAGTCCCTCCATAAACACGGTGACCATCACTGCCTGTAGCAGTGGTCCACTTGCCATACTGACACGAAGCTTCTGCACATATCCGTACAATGTGCCGTTGTCTTGACGGCATGGCAAAAACTTTGACTGTTGTCGAGATGCCATATTTGATGGAAGAAACATCGATTCTATGGTGTTCTTCAACTCTTGCCATATTTCAAAGTAGCCAGAGCGGTTGACTTCACACGTCATCACCCAAACCTTTGCACGGTCACCCAAATGCGTCATGACAAATGCCAGTCGGCTAAGTCATCACGAATTTGAGCCATCGCGACAGCGATTTCCGTTTCTCGCTGCCAGAACGCAAGATTTTGTCTTCGTCCCCGTGAAACGTCTTACGTTGATTTGACGGAACCTACTTGCAAAATATAGTCTTTCTTGTATACAAGAGACCAAACTTCGCGATTGCCACCATCATGAGGCTTTTCAGACGCAAGCTATTCGCCAGTGACCCTGGCGCAGTCAGTGCTTCACAGACAGCACACCGATCTGGCGGTGTGATCTCTGTGATCCGCCTTAAATTTCCAGGCGTTCCGTGTGTACCGACGGTCTCACCATTACTTGTGAAAAAGGTGAAGAAACCGGCGTCGGCACCATTTGCCATTGGATTTTCAATTATTCTTGCTCATCCAGAGCGAAATTTGCTAAGCATTGGGTTATTGCCTCTTAATCCAAATAAAGCATATCAAAGAACGCGTGATCTCCGATCAAAGCTTGCAGCTTCACCACAAACTCCCATTCCGAGTGTGTTAGGAGCGAATAGCCCTCCCTGTTGATCCGATGATGACCACTGCCTGTGGTGTCCAAAATTACATCGAAAATCTATCGAAGTAGTCGGCGCTGGAATGATTACTAGTGCTACTAAGCGTGACGTCACCTGTCCGTGTACACAAACTTTCTAAGAAAGACTTAGATCAACCGACACGACTCACCGCGTGCTGCTCGCTTACAGCGGGCGTTGACTTACGTATAGAGAAGGTAAGGCGACGTGACATTTATTGTTATACCCCCTAGACTTCTAACCTCCCTAACCTGATAAGTACTCCCAGTTTAAATTAACAGAACTGACAGCGATATACGATCATACAGGGTGTATGTGCAGTTGCTGCCAGACACAAAGTTTGTGGCCTACACAACATGCGTAATGGGATCTGGTCAGGTGATCATAGTGATGTGTGTGGCTCTAGATTTTCAAAGGCGTACAAGAGTCAATTCGTGATGATAACTACGTTACGTCGAAAAAGGAGCTGTTAGTCATGACATGTCACCGTATCAAGTATAGACTGGCCATTAGCCACTATTGACAAACCCAAAGGTGTTCTGCTGCCATGTGTATGCTCTAGGTCAACATAGAAGCGGTATAAGTTTGATGCTTGCTCAGTACGCTGCCGGATTCCTAACAGCCCATATCACCAAAAAGCTTATTGGGTTGAAGAAATTAAAGACCGGAGAGTACTAGTCAGTTGCGACGCGCACTTTGAGGAAGGAACCTATGATAATGGAAGGCGCATCTACACCTTAAAAGCGGTGGTTATTTCAGATGACGAAGTGGATGGCGGCAACTTATTGCAGCCTGACGGTACTAATTGTAAAATGAAGGGGTCGCCCGAGATCAAGGCTTTATTTTGAAGGTAAGCAACACGGAAGACACAGCAAATCCAAAACGTGGACTTTGAGGCTGGCGTCAAGCGACATCAGCGCAATCAGCCGTTACAAAAGTGAGCAGAGATATCAAGACCTAAAAGACCAAGTCTGTTTCGATCGTTTGCAAAAATGGCAGCGGTCGAAGGGCCAAGGGGGGCACAGTGAAGCGGTCTACGTTGTGATTTTAGAAAGAGAGAAGCCGACCACGTTTAATTCGGCCGTGAAATTCACCAGCGTAATCAAAAGGAATAAGGCTTGTGAACTGGAAGTCAATTCTCTTTTCAAGAACAAGACGTGAGCATTAATGTTATTCCTTAAGGTCGGAAGGCAATAAAATGTCGGTGGGTGTTTTGGATTACGAAAAATTAATCAGGAGAGGTCGAGCGGTTGAAGCAAGACTTGTGGCCAAATGTTTTCGCAGAAGTACGGTGCCGGCTACGGTGAAGCCTTTACACCGGTCGCCAAGTTTACTTTGATTAGGATTTCGCTCAGTCTAGCATTTAATTACAGTTTGACAATACACTAGATGAAAGTTTAGACGATATTCCTAAACGGGCTGTTTGATGGAAATGTATCCATGGCACAGCCGGACAGAGCCGTGGACGACGAACTCCTTTTGCCAATTAAACGCTCTCCCAACTGTCTCAAGCACTCGCCGCGAATGTGGAACCAGACCATGGTAAATTCATGCTGGATCTATCGTTCAAGAAATTCAAGACCAATTACTGCATCTACGTCTAGCGAGATGATCAAGACCTAATTTTTTCGTGGCTCTTTACGTTAAGAATCTGGTTCTTGCAAGCAACAACGACAGGATTCTTAAGCCAATGAAGATTGCACTGAGTGAACACTTTTACATGACGGACTTGGGCCATCACAAATACTTTCTTGGTATAGAAGCCGAGCAAGATGTGACAAATGAGAGATTGTCGACGCGTCAGACCAAGTTTCAAAAGACAATTTGAGTAAAGTTGGCATGGAGAATAGTAACCCTGTAAAGACCTCTCAAAATCCGGGACTCAAAGCCATGTGCGAAAGAGGTTGCAAGCACGAGAGACTATGTCCGTGGTATCGCATCACAATACTGTTGGTTGCCTGATATACCTCATGAGTGACACTCGGCCGAACCTCGCTGCTGAAGTGAGGTGCCTCAGCTAGTTTTCGGCGCATCCATGCCCTACACACTGGCAAGCACTCAACTGCCTGTTTCGTTACATCCAAGGCTGCATCACGTTTCGAAACGGAGGTATAAATAAACTTAAAGGCTACTCGAATAAAATTTGCCCGGGGGACGAACAAACTCGACGGAGTACAAACGGATACTTGTTTATAATGAACAATAGATGCATCAGTTGGAGTTGCAATGAGCGACGCACGGTGGCGCTATCGTCGACAGAAGTAGAATACATCGCGCTAACGGGCTTGTGGTGCTTTTGTGCGAGCTCGGTGAAATGAAGGTCGACGATCATATTCCCTTGCGCTGGCCAGGAGTTACGAGATTCATTTGCGCGCTAAGCACAACGACACCCGCTATCTTTGTTTGCACGAGAAAGTTGGAGACGGTCAAGTGGTATTGCAGTACTGACCGACAAATGAAAGCGGATCTAGCGACCAATCTAATTCCCGTAATGCAGATCGAAAGTATTCGGGATATCACGACATCAAACCATGTCGTGTTTAGTGGGAGTGTTGCCAATGAGCACCTCGAGCGTACATCTCGTCAGTCATTGGTATTACCAGTTTGGACAGGGGATTTGCGCAAGTTGTAGCTTGCACGCAGGCCAAGTATCCAGGGAAGGCTCTTCACGGGCGCATAAATGGTACATAAAACCAGTAATGAACCCAGTAGAATATTGATAAAAGTTCTAGACAGGCTTAGAGGTAGTAAAGTAAACTAAGGACCTTAATTTATTCCTCTTATATTTTCCAACACACAAGCACTTGCCTTTTAAATAGTCCTATCAAGAGCAAGCGCGTCACGTTCTCCTCATAGTTTTATCGTTCCTATGGTTGTCTCAATAGTAACTAATGGCGGTTTCGTGCAGACTTCTCTGGATATCGCTAACAAAGCTATGAAGTTCTTCGCGAGTCACCGTAGCTACGACATTGTGGTGGCCATGCATGTGTAAGTAGATTGCGTGCCCGAAGGCGGTGTGAATTTCAAATGCATGTCTTCGTCAGCACACACTTTGGAATCCATATTAAAATGACATTGCGGAGCAGAGTCGAAATCATCAAGCCGTTGTGGGCAATAATTATTTACTTTGACAATCTGTGTTGCACCAGTGGTACCGTACGAGTCACGACCCCTGAATTCTATGTCACTAATTTTCACTGAGTTTGGGTTAGTATACGCCAACAAATCTCAGTGCTGTTCTTATATTGGGTCTGAAGGTTGAAACCGGAAGCCTTCATAAACATAGACAGAAATGCTGTTGTGTCGAGAAACTCAACCATGAAGTAAAGAAGATGACACCAGTGGGTTGGCTTACTTCTTGTCGCCTCTTGCGCTTGGCGCAATCGGTTAGACGGTGGTGCCATATATGATTGTTACGCGCTATCTTATGGTTCATTAAACATATGCGTAGTTATACCAGACCATCGTCCAGAGATGGGAGAATATTTGCTGGGTTGGTCACAGTACCGAAATTTTGAAGCGTATTTTTGCGCAAAGTATACAGTTCGTTTATGAGAGGGGATGCCGTTGCACATATAAGCTCGGGGAATATACATCAGATGCGCCATGACTTCAAAACCATTCATCGAAATACAAGCTGACTTTAAAACCATTCATCGAAATACAAGCTCACACACTGTGAGTACCCTAACGAGGCATTCGGTATTGAAGCCAGCTTATGAGCATAGATCCGTAGAGCGTCAAAATTTACCACAACTAGTTCTGCTTCACTAGCGGTAGTCGAGTCACTTACCCCGGGGCGAAGGGTTTAGTGCACGAGGCATCTTTTTATTCGTGGAATATATTTTGTATATCAAAACAAATACAATAAGAGTGTTGTGAAGCTATCCAGCGCTTACATCTACGCAGATGACTGTATAAATTTTGACTGGAGACCACGTAATTCAAGGTATACTTCAATGCACGGCTTATCACAGTTGCACTTATTAGCTAAGAGATTAACTCCTTGATAGGTAGTTCGTACCTCCGCTTACTCAAGTGCAGCTCACACAAAGTTACACGAAAACGAAAGTAAAATAATATAGAATGGCGCATTAGTTGTATATGCGAAACGGTCCTGAGGCGCAGATCACAACAGCAATAATCACGACGATAGAGCTTTTAAAGGGCGAGGACTCGAACAATCTTGTGGCATCAAACAGGTTCGAGGCGGCCGATACTTATCGGCTTGTGGGTGGAGAGACTAACTAACGGGGCTCACTCAGTCGCCTTTTTTTTACACTTGTGTGGAAGAAGGTATATTGTGAACTCAACACTTACACTGGTACATGCCGATATAAATTCAAAAAGAAGTGGGCCTAGCTACTGAAATTTTAGCTGCGCGTGTCCGTCGAATAGAAGCGGCAGCAATGCTGGATCGCTGACTTCGGGCGACTAAAAAAAAAGGCTTTTAGAAATTCAAATCTAACCTCGAGATATTTCTTTTTGTTCTAGCATCAGCTTGTATACTGTGCAAGCAAATAATCTATACATTCACTTTTTGAATATGAAAAAGTTTGTCAATGGCAAGATATGGCAGTGGTCAGATGCTTTCGCGCAATGGATGATTGTATCAGACGACGGCTTCATTATCTCCGTAGGGATTGGGGAACCTCCTCCTACCGATGAAACAGAGGATCTCCATGGCGCGCTGGTGCTACCAGGGCTACACGACTCGCATATTCACGTTTCGATGCTTGGGGAGAGCGCAGAGTGGCTGGACCTGTCGGGATGCTCATCTTATGTCGAGTTTTCAGAGCGTCTTGAACGGTATGCCGCCCATTATCCTGAAAAGGCCTGGATTATTGGAATTGGCTGGGCTCAAGATACGCTTTCGAACGATGCACGGTATCCGAATCGACACGAAATTGATGCCGTGATTCGGGACCGACCAGTACTTCTACATCGCGCGTGCTGGCACATTGCTGTAGCAAACACAAAGGCGCTTCAGATTGCAGGGATAAACGTAAATTCTACATGTCACGACATAGATCATGGAGTTATCGACGTGGATGAGAAGGGAGTGACTGGGGTGCTGAAAGAAGATGTAAGAATGTTTTTTTTTTTCAGAAATGCGAAAACATATTAACAGCGGTCATTGGTTGGAGAGCAGGCTGTGCAGATAGTGGAAAAGCACGCGAATGAGCCGTCGTTAGGTTCGGTATTTTACCGCTGGAATAGTCTTTGGAGATTGACATGCTGTGTAATGACGCAGAACTGCGTCTGAAATATATTAAAAATGCGTTGAAAAGGTGTGTGCAGTCAGGTTTGACTGCACTTCATACAAACGACGAAGATGCATGGCATTTGTATAAAAAGATCCAGAAAGAGGAAGGTTTGCCAGTCCGTGTGTACCTCACACCATCAATTAATGAGCTGAATAATCCTCTGACACCAAAAGCGGGAGCCTGTGAAGGCCTTTTGTCATGCCACCGCTTGAAAATATTTAGCGACGGAAGTCTAGGCGCAGTAAGTCTTTTTGATTCGACTCATATATCCTATGTATATCTTTCAGCATAAAGTAACATCGAATTTTTGTTTAGGAAACTGCAGCGCTCCGAGTTCCGTATAAGGGCACGAGCAACAAAGGAATTCTTATAAATACGAATGAGGAACTTGTAAAAAAAATTCGCAATGCAAATGATGCTGGTTATCGAGTCGAGATACATGCCATTGGTACTGAAACTTTCATCCATACTATCAATACGTTGCGATTAATCTTTGTGTATAAACTGTGAAACCAGGTGATCGTGCGGCCGAGCAAGTTTTGATGGCTTTAAAGTCAGCCAATGTGGGCAAGGAAAGGCGCCCGATTTTGACACACTGTCAAATTCTTGGAGAAGATTTGATCTTTCGGATGAAAGAGCACGGAGTCATTGGGAACATCCAACCTTCATTTACTGTGACGGATGCAGCCTACGTTCGCAAGCGCTTAAATGATGATATTCTTCCGTATTCGTATTGCTGGAAACGTATGCTAGACAATGGTATTGTGTGTGCTGGTGGAAGTGATGCACCTGTCGAGACCTGCAACCCGTTTCAAGGTATATATGATGCTATCTACCGCCACAAGCCTGACCGACCCGAAGACGTCTTCTTGCCGCAGGAGCGCTTATCGTTTAGTGAAGCTTTAGCACTCTACACAAAAGGTGGAGCGTTTGCAGCAATGCAAGAACAAGTTCTCGGTCAACTTTCGCCGAAGTTCCGTGCGGATTTTGTGGTTCTTCGTAAGGATGTGACTTCTAATCATGCTGCGCTCGTGATGCCAGACCTTGTAGAAAGCGTCTGGGTAAATGGGAAAAAGACCTATCAGTATGATCCAGCTGCTAATGAGCTAAATCACATGGTGAAAGACCTAAGGTCTAGCCTTCTGCCAGGTAAGAATGGTCCTCGGCGCGCATGTAAATGCTGTAGGTGATAGGTTTCGTCTAAAGCATAGGAGTAGTATTTCATGGTAATTAGTACCTTTTAAAAGCTTTTGTTTTCTTTATGTGAGGAAGTCATAACAAAATAAACGCAATAGGATGGACTATGGTAGTGCCATTAACGCAACGTCTCCGCGCGTGAACAAGAAGACTATGAGTGAATATATTGGAACTACTGTCGCTCTTGTGGGTGCTGTAGAGAGTCATCGACCAACTGCTGTCGTCTTGCGCACTTCGGTAAGTCGTGAATTCATAGATCGTTTAAGTCTTACTCTCTTGGTGCTGTTAGGATGGAGGGATCGTAAACGTGACGCCACAGCCTGGGAGTGACTATGGTAGCAGATTTGTTGAAGTAATTGGTCGTGTTATTGACAGCGAGACGATCCAAGAATTTAAGACTACGCTTTTTGGTGATAACTTTGACCTAGATGTGTATGACAACTTTGTGCAACTCTCAACCACCAAGTACAAACATTTATTTGGGTAAATCTCATTTAGTAATCAGTTAGAAAAAACGACATTTGAAGCAAGCATGTAATATATATCGTTGCATGCTACCGGGGTAGCTTTGATGAGTTTTTCTTCCAGCTTTTCAAATTTCTCAGCAAGAGGTTAAAGCTCGACTGATTGTAAGGATCCCTGACTTAGCGGATGCGGGATATTTGGTATCTCGATGTCATTGATCTCGCGCTGAATGAGGTGAAAATGATTGTATGGTGTAAAGATGCACTTGTAAAGTTCAAAGTGTCGATAGTACGAGTCAGTAACATAGTCCACAATTTTATCCACCTCTTCGCGACAAAATATTCCCACGCTGAAAAATAGGTGACGAAAAATTAGTCGTTTGCACAATAGTGAAGCACGAAGATTATACAGTACCTATTGGGGGATCGATTAACGCTGTGCGTGAGCAAAGTAGACTGAAACTTTTCAAAACTTTCCGTTAAAGTAGTCGAGCTGTCGATCGCAAAGTCACACTTCATGAGTTTTTCACACATACCAAGAAATGCTGACGTTTGATCGAGCTGAAAATGATTCTGCCTGCAGAATGTGAACTCTCCACCTGTTAAGAAATACTTAAAAGTTTTCAAATATAAGAATACAAATGGTTGTAGCCATAGTAAGGATATGAATAATTATGCAGATGACAGTCGATAAGCAAGCTTTGCTTCTCATCCTTAGGATCCAAGCCAAACATTTTCGCCAGAGATCTATCACACCACACTGTAATGGCATTAACTCTATCTGTAAACTATACCACATCTAATTGCAACCTCTTGCAGTCTTCAACCGAATAATGTTCCGCTAACTCTGCCAGCTCGTGCTCAGTAGCGTATTTCCACACTATCGATTCTGTCTGATAAAATATCCAAAGCAATGAATTTATCCTAATTTACAAAGCTTCTTTCTCAAGATGCGTACCATGATCGACTCTACACTTTTTAAAGATTCTCGTACTTAGTTCGAGCGTCTTCGACCTGAAAACCAATAATTGTACAGCATTAACTAGCTGACTCTTTTTTCTACCAATTAAAATGTCTCCCTCTCTCTCCCTTACACGGTAGAGCTGCCTGCCTGTGTTCAGCACGTGATTCGAACGGTGTGAGCAGGGACAAGCGAGTCATCTCCCCACATAGAGGAAGTAGTCGATAATGGCGACACCATGCAGTGATATAGAGGCGCCTAGCGATGTCACTAGTCGCGTGTGCAAGACGCCCACATCACCCGAGGACGCGCCCGAGATTGTCGACGACCCTGTGGCTCTCGAAGAGCTCGTACCCAAGAGTAAGCAACACACTGCAAGTGATACAGCGAACGAGACTATACAGGAGAACTCGATTGCGATGGACACAATAGTAGATTGTACAGAATCTCTTGATATGGCTAAAGCAGCAATTGTGGCCGACACCACAAAGGATAGTAGTAACAACATTGCAGCCGATGTGGATGTCATGATGGAGCTCGCGACGTACGACGATGAAGACGACGAATTTCACGAAGCCATAAATGAAGGCGTCGACCTGTTAGAAGATGACACGTTTAAGCCTGCAGTACCTCCTACAATGAGCTTTTCGATGAACGAAATGGAAGTTATTACAAACCGTGAAGGACGCACGGGTAGTTTGTCCAAATTCTTAGAAGACGCTGATACATACCGTCGTCGATCATTGCCGTCGTATCCCGAGGATCAACTGTTTGTTGGTTCGATGAGTCGTAAGAAAATGACTTTGACTGCATTTCTTAGCATGCAGATTGATCCCGTACTGGAAATTCTAGAGGATACAGACTCAGATATTCGACTTTGGTTAATGGAGCCCGATACAGTAAAAGAGGTACTTGCAGAGTTCATTACGCCGCCGGTCCTAAGTGGTGAACCTCACGAAGAGTATGGATATTACAAGAAGCATTTTCTGTGCTCCGAAATCATCATGAAATTGTACACAGGCGAAGAAGATCTGTATGAGTCATTTTCATCGGATTCGAGTTCCGGATCAGTAGCAACGACGGCAGTTTTTGGATGTCAGGAACAGGAGGATATTGACAAATGGGAGCATCTCTATGCTATTTTTCACAATCCTGTCCCGTTAGATGAAATGCAGCTTCTATTTTTTAGCAAAGCGCTCGTGCGACTACATGATGGTTTTTGTTTGGAAGAAGGATATGTAAACAATGTGTTGAAACGTTTTCTGCCACTGGTGATTCCTCATTTATACTCAAACACGATCAAGTACATGCTCACACTAATTTTACAGAGTTATGAGAGTGTTCATCCAATTACTGGCCGAAATGATGCGATGGAAATTGCTGCGCAGCTTCTTGCCAATGCTACTCGTGTTGATCCTTCCATACCTGAGAATTTGCCATTGGTCGAAAACACTACGAATTTATTAGTTGATATGCTCCAAGCAAACCAAGCAGATCGACTTGGTGCATTTAGTCGTCGGGAAGGCGGTGTGTACCTATCGAAATACTTCGTGCGGGATCAATTTGGCACGATTCGTGGCTTTGAGTCGATGACGCATGGGTATCACAACTTTTTGCAGTATATGCTCTTGGAAGAGATGTCCAAACAGCTATCGATTGTAGATACACTATTTCAGAACGCAACAGATGAACTTTCGATTATTTGTGAAAATAAACTGACTGAAGTCTCGAGCGCTCTGAACATTCATGTCATCACGGAGCTTCTCGTTCTCTGCCAAAAGCTTCTTAACGAAAGCTCAGAAGGCGACGACGATAATCAAACTCATGAAACGGAGACGCAAAATTCGCTAATGTTTGGATACTCAAGCTTCCCATCCGAGCAATATGTAAGCTCGCAAAATGATGGTGGAAATGATGCTTCGATGTACAATCTCACTTCTCTGCCTCGTGGTCACGTGCTCTGGACTTACGTGCTGGATTTTGCTCGAAAGACGTGCACCACTTTCGTAACGCATTTGAACAAGGGCCTTCCTTCGTCAGTGGAGATTTCTCTGGCCAAGTATCTTAACAATCTTGTCATGCTTAATGACGCCAATATGAACGAAGAGTTACACAAGAGTGGTCTCATTCAGACGTATTTGTCTATTCTTGAGAATCGATCGTCTTTTGACATGCTCATTATTCACATTGTCCCAGCGATCTCATTTATTCTTCGTGATGTTGATGGTACTCGAGCAAAAAATTGCCCACTTACGAAAGATCTATTTGGTGTTGATATCGATGTCCCTGAAAATATAATTACTCTCTTGCTGCGAGCCAAGATTGATATTCCGACGCTGGACATCTATGCTGCCATTTTGCACGATGTGATCGATGAAATCTTCTCGAATCAGACACCGTCTCAAAATAATGCACAGGTAGTTTTTCATTGCAAGCGCAATCCTGCATGGTCAAAGCTTTCGGATAAGATGCGATTGAGCAGCGGATCGGAAAAGTCAGATTCGACTCCTGGATCGGACGAACAGAGGGATTCAATGTCTAAATCTACGAAAAGCGAGCATAATAGAGTGATCGAGTCTACCATGTCTAACGAAGGAGAAGCTGGCTTGGCGTCTGAGGCGCTGCTGTTGGAGACTTCAGTGACGGAAGACGCTTCAAAACGTCTGTCTTTAGGAACGCAATCGACGACAAACACAGAGACGAGTTTTATTTCGAAGGCCGATGATGAAACGGAGAAAATCGAGGAGCCGCAATCAGATCCTATCGAAAATGAGGCTAGTCCTACAGTTCTGCCATCGATCACGGCTGATACTGGGATGAAGTTAGCATCTTCATCTCCAAAGTCAAAGGAGGACCTACCAAAGAAATTAAAGGATGAAACCGAGCCGACAAGAATCAGTGACAATGATAGCTCACGCAAGTCGCACTATTTCAAAAATGTTTTGCAATCACCAGTTTTCAAATCACCAATGCGCTTGGGTTCAGTAATCAAGCCTCCACTGGCGCCTCCTACTCCAGACTCAGAGTCTTCGCAGTCAAACGGAGACAGCAACCAGCGCAACTCATTTGGCTGGAATAATGTGTTTAAACGGCTGCGAAAATCGTTAGTAACAACGCACAATGACAAAACAGACAAAAAGGTTCTAGCGCTGAGCAACGAAGCGTACGCATCTCCAAATGTTGCTCCTCGTCAGACAGATGTGTTTGTTGTCGATACATCTCGCGGTGAGGACATTACTACCTTTGTTACCCGCGACGGTGGTGTCATGGTCTCAGATGTTTCGACTGCATCGACTAAATCATCTGATTCTACGAAGAATGTTATTACGGTTGGTTATATGTACAAGAACAAATACCCCGAAACTGGCCACAGGAGTCATTGGGAGCGATACTACTTTGTTCTCAATCGGTTTGAAGGTTCCTTAAGTTACTATATCAGCGAAGCTCATGCAAAGGACCGAACGTTTGTTCGTGGAACGTGCCGCCCATTGTCTGTTTCTGAGGGTCTTCCAATGCACGTACACGGTCAGCACAATGTATTTGGTTTCCAGATCAACACACAAGGGCATGGCGCATTTATGGTATTAGTCGACTCGATCGATACTCGGTTAACTTGGCTGACGGAAATTTTAATTTGCGTTTCGAACGCTAATCCCTCGCTTCCACTATTAAAGCAACGTCTGTCGCTTGTTTCTGACGACGCACCGAGACAACGCATGTCATTAACTACGAGCTCTATTACCTCGCTTCGGTGCAACAAAGAAGAGATGAAAGAGCTCGTGGTGGACTTTTATAGCAATTTGTTTGGTCCAAATCTTAAATTTTCGTCACCTTTGGACGCACCTGCATCATTTTGGATGGAAGAAAAGATCGACCCAGTGTCGGATGATTGTGTGCTCAGCTCCAATTTGCCCGACCGAGTGCCGTACTGGGGGGAATTTCACGGCTACAAACGATTGTGCGACTACTGGAAGATACGCGACGAAACAATTGAACGGAGTAGCGGCCGTGTACTTCGCATTTTAGTGGACGAAGACGAGGAGACTGCAGTAGTGATGACATCGACGACGTTTCGGATCTTGCGGAACAGTGAAATTGTGACAGAAGAGTCATGTGACATTGTCAGTGTCAGTGGCGGTAGTATTGTAAGTATTCACTGCACTTTCGATTCGCATCGTATCGCCCAAGCTTTTAAAAAGTACGTAAATGTTCAACTGAGCTTTATGCTGGCTAGTTGGCTAATGCCTTTCATGACTTAACTGTGTTGTTACAGGGAGGGCATTAGTGCGTCGTAAGGTTTCTTAACGGTCCAACGTGTTCGTGATATGCGTACGATTGCGCTTATGTGTTTAAAAGCGAAGATGCTGGCGCCGATTTCTTCAGACAGCAACATTTGGATAAATGGCAACGGAAAGCTTGAGCACCTTGTCGAGTATAGCTGCATCTATGTAGCAAACCTGTGTATACCCTAATTTTCCGATGTAGAGATCTAGAGCGAGAGAGAAGACAGTGAACGACCGGGCACTGCATTAGACAGTAGCCCATCTTCTTTCAACTACCTTTCAAGAATGAATCTTCATTATTACTATATTTTAGCACAACTTCTTAAAAGTACTTACTCGGTTGATGTAACAAAGTTTCGAGCTAGTATACTGTCTACGTATTTGATTCTAGTTAAGTTATGCTACAACTTGCAGTGTGTATACTTTTAGCAAGTCATCGCCGAAACAGACAGCGTGGTGCTACCCAAACTATCAATGAAAATTTAAATCAAAATTGTAAGCCGAGAAAATAACTTCTCCAAATCTTTGCTTTTCATGCTTGCCGTGTCGTAAGAACCGCGTCACCAGCTTTTGGGACCGATTTGTATGCTAGAACGTACCGCCGTAAAGTCACATTCAATTTTCTTGTGATACAAATATTTACTGGTTAGTAATAAAATTCAATTTTAAGAATTGTGTCGTGGTGAAACAAAGAGTGAGAAATATTTGCAAAATTTTGAGTAGCGCTGTAAGCTACCGTTCCGTCGTCCTACATTTACAGTCATTACGTAACGTAAAATCTGGCTAATTACCACACCGTTTCACATGCAATATAAAACGGTAAATTCGTGGAAGGGCGTTGCAAAAAAGTCGCGGAAAATCCCGAATAGAGTTCACATGATTAGTTACTATATAAGCTTAACCACGGTGGGGATTGAATACACGCCCAATCGATTAGACATCCCACCAAATGACTGAGCCAATCTTCGGGACATGAAATCTGGCTCAGTGGTTTGGAGTGGAGGGTTCAACTCCCACAACGCCGAAGTTGTTGCATGTGCTGTTATTCTCCAGACTAGCGCCACTGTCCATCAAGAAGTCCACGTGTGGGTTTGCTTCATTATCTTGGAGAATAAGTGTGCCTGATTCCGGAATTCTGCGGTCGGCGCTTCTATGTAACGTGCGGATAATTAAAACTCCAAGCAAGCCGAACCGGATAAGTGTACACTTGCAACGTGTCGACGAAGCACAGATCAAGTCTTTTATCAAATTTGACACGCGACTGCGGTCAATTCTGCTCCCTATATTCAACGACTTGCAGTTTTGACTGGCGTTCCGTTTTCTGCCAGTCCGCTCGCGATTCTGGCATCTGGAGGCGTCAAACCCAGGCATTCGCTGCAGTGAGGCTGCCGTAGCCCTTTGCTTGGAGGAATATGACTAAGGTCACCGACCTTACGTTCTAAAGTAGAACAGTTATGAGTGTAGCGGATCGCAATCCTCTAATAATAATCTAAACCCAAGGTAAATACACTTCTCCGTTCAAGTTAAAACTGTATTTATCTGTTTTATTTGCGGCATGCTGCCTATATCTAAATCGCTAGGTTTTCTGATTAGTAAAACCTAATAAATATGCCTAACTACTGGCAGCGCCTCCACATACCGGCCTTTTGTTACGGTGTAGCCACACCATTGTGTACTTATACCGTCTTGTGTAATCCACCTCTTTCTACGGTCACACAACCTTGTGTGATCACCCTTTCATACCAGGGTACGTAAACCCCGTTACATACTCCCCATCAAAATTGTGAATATCTACAATTCACTTTTAATAGTCGCCTCGTACGAGGCTCACGTGTTACGTCCCCAGGACCTTCTTCACGCATTCTCTGCTCAATGAGCCCTGTGTCTGTGACACATAAGGCACTCAGCCCAGCTTGTTCCGAGGGCATCCGCGGGCAGAACCCTTCTTTTGTCTTCTGCACGCGGTGCAACTCCGGACAGCACGTCCATGGCTTCACAGGAAGCACATCCCAGCCCTTGGCAACCGGGCACCACATACCGCGCCCGCAACGCGCGACGGAGGTCGTCGACGAGGACTTGGAGGAAGTCGACTACGAGTCGGATACTACTTTCCCAGGATGGGAAGAAGAAGAGGATGAGGTGCGCCAACAGCGCGACGTGAGCCCTGCGGACACCGTGTTCGTTTCCCAAACTCTCGACTTCCGGGATGTGGCATTATTACCAACCGCCTTGACGAGGCACAGGAGCAGCAGTTGAAAGCTGCTCACAAGGCAGCTCTCATGCGCTGGCATCCACGGTCGGTTGCGGAATACGGCTACCGCTCGGCGGTTCCCACTACGGAGCGAAAGACGCGATCACTCGATCGTTAGGCGTCTACGTAATCGAGCCCCGTCCACCACACAAGCTGAGCTTGACGAACAAAAAGCTGTCCGAGCTCGCTTCGTGATACCTCAAAAAATTTCAATGGATAGGTACCGTGCTCGGCTTCGAGCTCATAGTGGAGGCACTCCTGTACCCGCGATGCGAGCGATTCATGTGGTGCTCGCCCCTGGCGAAACCGCTGCAGATGATGAAGCGATGGATGCAGCGGCACCGGAAACTTTTCTCGCTGTCTAACTTACAGCGGAGCCACAAGGAAGTGAATCTGCGCGTTAAACGCCATCTTTGATTTGAGTTTGCCAAACTCTCAGGAACAACGCCGACTTCCTTCGTATTGTCGCCCTGCGACGTAAGGATCAATCTATCACGCCCCCAGGAGCTCTGCGGAATCTCACACGGGTGAGTCTGCAACTGCAACAGCTCAGGGCCATAGCATGAGCTCAGCTTATGTCCCTTCGGCTTCCCTGGTCGTTGCCGAGAAGCGCGAAGCGTACGACGATACTGAATGTCATGATCAATCTGATCATAAGCGCCTACGATGTCTGGGCGGTCTTGCCGAAGTGACACCTCAAACTCCCACGAATTCGTTTAAGCATCCCCACCACTTCACAAGATATCGGGTTTGACCATGTCAACGACGTGAACCCATGTAGCGTTCCACGTGATAGTGGACGTCACTGTTCTCGTCGAGAAGAGTCGGCGGCAGACGATGACGGCTTGGTCGATTGCCATCCGATGACTCGCGATGCTCTTCGAGCTCTTGAGGACAAAGGCCGTCTTCGATACTCCGCTCAGAATCTTGCCGAGGTGGCATACCGCCGTGCGGAAGACCTCGCTAGCTTGGAGCACTTTGTGCGCCGACTGCCTCACGTTGAGAACTATCGCGCTCTGTAGAAGCGGCTCCTAGCCGTCGAGCAGACAAATGCGTCACTTCGTGCGACGGTGAAGCGCCTGGTGTTGGAAGCGGAAATCGTTGCACTCTGTGCTCAAATCCAGCTGCTGGTTCAGCTTCTGGGTGGTCGAGCGGCTTTGGACGCCACCCCAGCGCCAACGCTTCGCGATCACTTGCGCCAGATCGCGGTACGGCTTAAGGAAGCCCACATAAAATATCGGGTGAGTGCGCAGTCTTCTCGGAAGTTTTAGTGTATACGCAAGGGCTCGCTCGGCCACACGACCTCGAAGGGTCCGATAGACGTTGGACGGAGTTTCGTCTTGAGGACAGCAGAAAACGCATGTGTAGAAAGTCTTCAAGCATTGAATTAAACCGGGTCTCCGACCTCAAGTTTCCAACATTTCTTCTGCTTCTTCTATGTGCATATTCATTATGCATTTCTTGGCTTTCACCCATTGCATCGCGAACGTGTCGTAAGACACTAAGATGCCATCGACTTCTTTACGGACAGTGAGGGGCTGACATTAGTTCGCCTCTCGGCTATTCCTCCCCCACCAAGCCCTGAGCCATGGAATGGTGGCGTCAGCGGAACGCGAGGATTAACAAGCCCGTTCACGTAGAACGGCGTGAAACAGGTAGACGCATGCACTGCATTCTTCAGAGCAAACTTCAAAAGTAAAAGCATGGTGCTCTAGCACTTTGGCTGCTCAGCGCACACGCCGCTAAGAACGTCTTCAACGACGCGATTCACGCGCTCAGTTTGACGATCGGTTTGCGAATGGTCCTCCGTTGACATAGTCAACATGGTGCCCAGCATTCTGAAGATTGTCGACCAAAACTTTCCAACAAATCGTGGGTCTCTGTTATAGACCATTGACTTCGGAGGTCCATGTTGTAAAAAGACATGTTACACAAAAAGCGTTGCTGTACCGACACCGTCGGTGGTGTCCGGCACTACCACACGATGAGCATTCTTGCTCAATCGGTCGACAAACCGAGTCCTTCAGCTAGCCAAACACAAAGTCCAAACTCATGGACAGCTAGCAACCGGTAAACTGGCATGCGGCGCCACCGCATTCGGAGAGTTTTTCACCTTTTGACACGTCTCACACGTGCGTACATATGTGTTTGTCAATTTGTACAGCTTGGGCCACCAGTAGTGGCAACTCTCATGTCTGTAGGTCTCCTCACGACCGAGATGACCACTGAGTGGGGCGTTGTGGGCCTCATAGAGGATACGGTATTTCAACTCCTCATCGTGAGGTGCCACAATTCGTGGCGCATCCGTCGAATCGGTGCTATAATACAGCAACCCGTTATTCAACGAATATCGGTGCAACTGTGCGCGCAAACGCACCGACAATTTCTTGTCCGAGTTTCAAGACTCCTTGATCTCGAAAGCCTGTAGAAGCATTACACACATACTGTCACCCGCGTATGCGGGGACCAAATCCATCACTGACGACGTCATGAGCAAGATCATAGTCCGGTCTGCATGACAACGCATCAGCCAAAGCCATCCGTTTTCCTGCAAAGAAGGAGAGCCACCTGGCCATCTTCTGCGAGAGGTGAGGCGACCGAGTCGCAGTGCGTAGAAACGTATGATCTGTGTAGATCACAACCGGCTTTGCGCCGAGCGGTTGTACTCCGAACTTGACAAGTGCATGCTTCATCGTAAGTAATTTCTTATCGTGGATCGGGTAGTTCTTTATCGCAGCCCTAAGCTGACGATAAATGGAGCGCGATCACCCGATCTCGCCCCTCGGCGTCCGCTTGCAGCAATGCACAGCCGATGGCAAAGTCCGAAGCGTCGCAGACGACATCAAAAGGACGCTCGGGGTCTTGTAACTCCAGTATTGGTGCATGAGGGGGGCTGTCTTTGACCCCGTTAATAGCCTCCCGAAAATCGGTAACCCAACACAAACCCGGATCTTTCCTAAGGAGATTCGATAATGGCCGTGCCATTCCCAAATAATTCGCGCCATACTTGTGCAAGCAGTTGGAGAGGTCAAAACACTTGCGCAAGTTCTTTTGGTTCTTTGGAACCGCCAGTCTACAATGGCCTTGACCTTAGCGGGATCCGTTCAAAGGCCAAGCTTCCCGTGAAGCACTTAAAAAAGAGGATTTCTTCAGCGCCAACGATGCACTTATCTGCATTAGAATACAGTTTATTCGCGCGCATTCACTCGAGCGTCGCTCCCAAATTGACGATTTGGGATCCCTCATCTGCCCTCCTGTGCCCCGCACGACTGCGGACGAGGATGTCGTCGAAGTATGCCCCGGTGGGGCCTGAACAACTGCGCCACACGACGATTAAATGCTGCTGGTGCATTTGACAGTCCGTGGGGCATCACCAGCCACTTCCAGAACATGCCGCTTGAAGTACTCACCGCTGCCAGCTATTATCACAAGCGTTACGAGCAATAGGTAATGCCTAGCGACCAAGTCGAGTGTACTGTACTTTGTTCAGCCAACCATATTGTTTTAGAGAACATCTTTCCTAGCGATCAGCGTCTGTGCCAGAATGGTGGCAGCGTTGAGCTTATTGTAAGTGTGAACAATACGCCACTTGCCGTTTGGCTTCCGGACACAAAAACGTGGGTGTCGAATGGGGAGACTTGCTCTCACGCACCATTCCTGCGTCGTGCTTCGCGCGGAAAAAGGCGTCAATGACGTCACACTGCTTCTTGGGCAGGGGCGATTAGCGTGTTACGCAGTATTTGGTTCCCGGAACTAGGTCGATCTCATGACGCACACCTCGGTCCAAAGATAGGACCAACGACGGGTGTTTGGAGGCGACGTCCTTACATTCTTTTACCAAAGGATAGTACGGATCCAAGAGATTTTTCAGTATCGACGATCCACTTCGAGCGTTAGGCACTTTCTTTTTGTCCTCCAGGACAGCTTCATCCAGAAGCGACGACAAATTAATCTCCTCGTTCGGTCGTATAATGACCACCTCGGCCGAATCGCCTGCCTTCAAGGCACCGCCAAACCCTTCAAAAAACATCTTGTCCAGCTCAAGAAGAGTATCCACCGCATGAATAGCATCGAGGGTAACGTCGTCGGCGTCTTCCTCCCTCGTCACACCGTTGACGAGGGTGTATAGCTGCGCGCTATCGTCTACGGTAGACACACCCCGGGTCAGGGTCGACGCCCTCCGTCTTCCAGATAACATACGGCATCGCAGTTGTTTTTAGCAATGATAGAAAAATTCAAGATTCTCTCTGTAAGGGTTTTACGTCTCGTCGAGATTAGTTAGAACACGCACTCAGCTTCGTCCAGTGTTAGCCCAACTTCCTGTTCCGATGAGGCCTTAATGTTGTTAACGTCATCCGACGAAGAGCTGCTAGCTCCGCAGTCTGGATAGCGTGCCACTCCACGCGCATCAGAAGGGCCTTGCCCAAGATGCCTCCGATCTCGTCCGACCATGCCACTCTTGGCATGCAGCAACAACTTCGAAACGTGAACAGTGCTCACTCATTACGTGCCACTCCATGTGCATCCCTGGGACCTCGCCCTCGATGACACTCTTGGCATGCAGCAACTAATTTGATACTTGAGCAGTGCACAGTGGGTCACGTGCCACTCCACGTTCAGTCCGCGAGCCATGCTCGGGACTCCTGTCCGATACACATTCGGAGCTCGACAACTCGGATACTGATATCCAGCACATTGACCGTCCCGGTCCAGTGCCCCCGCCAATAGGGCTTCTGCTTCCTAGCGGAGGTGGTTCATTACGCACCAAAGCTCCATTAGGAGACGTGCGTATAGCACCCATGGTCTCCAGCCCCCAATCAATCCATGGTTCATGGTGTTCCAATCATGCATACCAAGGATAAGGTCATGCCTTAAATCCAAGTCTAAGACTAAGCAGCGTTCCCCGCTATCACAGTCAAGAAACTTGACACCGAGGTCCACAGGGGCCCCCGGCACCGCGACAGAAGTCCCCGTCGCTAAGTGAACAGTGACTGTGTCACCCACCCGCAATTTCTGCACCTCAGCTTACAGATTACTTTTTTCGATCGTGGAGCGTTGAGCGTAATTGCCAGGCGCCCTGGAATCGATCGGGATCTTCATGGCTTCTTAAAGCCCTTCACGGTCGCTTTTACGACCAGCAAGCCTGGCTTGCATACACGTTCCGTGTTCAAGAGCACGGCACTCCTTGGGATATATTTGTTCACAAAGTGTTTTTCGCGCTTATACTTAGCGCGAGCGGATTTTCTACGACAACCAAAAGAGTTGGTGCACTTCACGCAATCTAGTGAGTTGAGCTTTCATCCGGGAAGCTACGGAGATACGTCGTATTTTACGACGAAAAGATCTAATTACGACACGCAAGTGGTTTTGATGCAGAAAGCTGGTACACCTTCTAGCGGGTTCTTCACGTAAAAGTAAAGGCTATACTAAAGAGGATGACGCGGATCTTGCTCTCACGACATACAACAGGAGACCAACGTGCGTGTCTGGATAGTTGACGTCGGGTAGAGTCGATATTCAGTTAACGACTCATGCGTGATAGACGATGCCAAAATGTGCTGTAACGAGTCTGTGGAGACCAACGGAAGAGCATCAAGGTGACGAAAGAATTGACAGCGTGATGCTGATAGAAACTAGCTTACTCAATACATCTAAATCTAGGGAGTACTTTCTCCAGTTTTGCTTATTGCTTTATCGTGATGAAGATCTTTATGCTTGCGTGGACGCTATCTTGGTCTATCGTACGGATATTGCCGTAGACACTTTTCATCTTTCTCTCACAATACTTGTCTGCTATCGGCATTGCACCAATGTTTAGCTTTAAATGAAACTACCACCTATTTTGCGCTGCATTCCCAACAGCAAAACCGTTTGAAGACAAAGTCAAACAGGACTACAGCATGCCAATTTTTTTAATTATTGCATAATCTCAATCTTATAAGTAGACTCTATCTTGTGAGGCGATTCGTCCAGCTATCGCTTTCTCAGCGCCTATCCGCTAACCATGCGCTGACGCAAACAGGCTCGAACCAGCCATTTGCAGCTGTAATACCATCGCTGATGCATTTTTTGTCGCTACCTCTTTGACCCTGTCAAATCTTACCGCTGACCGTCGGCCAGCATATCGTGATAGTCTCCACAGCCTGCGAGGCTCATAAGCTAGCGGAAAACGGTACTGTGCTGCGATAAATAATGAGTAATTTACAGTTTTATAAGATGCGCTATCAAATTGCTAGTTTTGCTAGAACACAAAACGTTGCCCGACGCGACAGTCAGATAACACCGTCTTGCCATGCCAGCCAGATTCGCTCCTAGATTTTGATCTTGACTCATCCATACTTGTGATCCTCAGCTTCGCCTGGGGTGGTGGACAATTCTCCAAGCTCGCACCGGTTTGAGTAGAGCTTGTTTGTCAGTACCTGAATACCTTGGTTTTACATCCGCGCATTCTATCAGAGCTGGACTAATCTTTACGTTAGAATGCGTGCTTAATTAAAAATTCAAGCTCTTTGCTTACACAAAGTAAAAAATATGAAATTAATTGCAATGGTCAAACGAAATCTTGTGCAAGCCCCTGCTACATTCTTGGATATATTGGGCAGTGATAGTCTGAAGCTGAACTCACTCTCAGAAGCAGTTCAGCAGGAAATTGCGCCGTACGATAGCAGCGTAAATTATATCAGTATCACAGCAGTAGATGAGCTGGCTCTTGTCTTACTCCGTATGTTGAATTTGATGTGCCCACTTGGTTTCGTGTGAGAAGCATCGTATTTTTTTCTGCTACTACTCCGTAACCAACGTGCTTTCGAGGTGGTGACGTACATAAATACATCCGCTAGTCTGTTGCAGTTGATCGGGTAGCTTAAGGAGGGGCTGGTCAATGCGTAAACATGTTGAGGTACTTTTGACCCCTTAAATTACCGCCGCGCTGAAAATGCCTCATTAAAGTTAATCTCTTTAGGTGGACCTGACGACCAAATGTTTGCAATTCATGCGACCTGTGCTAAGTTTGGGTATATCAAAAGCGAAAAGGATAACATGCGCAGCGACTCCTGTTTTTATTATATGTTTGACGCTGCATACAACGGGCGCCGGTCTTTCATGCAATCAAGTTTTTACCAAGAGCGACAAGACAAATCGCTCGGATTGCGGCGATAGCGATCCCACTGGTGCAACGCAACAGTTGGTGCAGCACTGCCAATCGCCCCGTTTGGTGTCTTTACTATATTTACAGCCTTATCTTTGGGTATCGGGGTTACACTTACCCTGGTAACAGGGATG